CTCAAAGGGAATTTTATTGATCGAGTACACGAAAAAAGGTGAAACCATAAACACAGCATCTAACGCAACCACTCTGCGTAATTTAAGAGAAGCAATTAAAGAAAAAAGGCGGGGAAAACTGACCACAGGTGTGTTGCTTCTTCACGACAACGTGCCCGTTCACACGATGCATGTTTTGAAGGCTGCTGTGCGAGACTGTGGTTTCAAAGAAACCACTCACCCTGTAGCCAGGACCTGGCCCCCAGTGACTACTACCTATTCCCGAATTTAAAAAAAGATCTTCGTGGAAAGCAATTTTCCAATGATGAAGAGCTCAAGGCGGCAATTAACCCACATTTTTTAGACAAGGAGGAAGGGTATTTTTTACAGGGAATTGAAAAGTTAAGTTCTAAGTTATGGGGGATTACATTAAAAAATAAAAATTATTTCAATTTATTATTCCTTTTTCTTCATGCTGATACCAAGAATACATTGAACACCCCTCCTATCTTCTGGAGTGGGTTTTTTTTTTAATTGCTGTAAAGTTCTGACTGCATCTATTTGGATTGATTGTAGAAACATGTACAGTATCAAAACAATCCAAATAATTGATTATTACATTCAGCATCATGTTTTTAAATGACACAAGGAACCTGAGAATACTGGTAGTTACAAAATGCTAGCTAATTTTTGGCTAAGTTGCAGTGTATTAAATCGAGGTAACAAAGAAGACAGTGGGCATGTTCACATAGAATGCTAAGCTGTGCTTCCTAGTACATGCATGGGTCCATGTATGTATGCATAGTTTTCATGCTTCTCTACCTTCCCTCCAAATGGTGGCCAGTATCCATCTTCCTCCATGGCTCAGAATCAATCACAGTGTGCACTAATACTGCCTATGTCACCTGCCTCTCCCTCATTGGCCCACATTGAGTTTAGGTACAAATCACAATAGCTTGTGAAGGCATCACTTATTACACCATTATATCCAATGCAAGGAAGCATTTTGTGAACAAAAATAATTGAATTTTTAAATGGCGTAGGATTTTTCTGCTTTTTGGTTGTCTTTTCACATGCATTGAGAGCCACCTGGAAGACACTATGTACAGATAAAACAGCCCTCACATTTAAGAACAGGATTAACTTGTTAGCATCTTCTCTTGTTAATTCTGTTAATTCCAGTCATGTGAAAGAATAAAATGATGTTTGTGTCTTGGGAAGGGCACCTGAACAGTTGATCAGCTCCATGCAGTTCAAGATTGCATATTGGATTGGAAAGAGATGCAAATGGTAAAATGCTGATGTATCTTTTCTGTGTTACTCTTCTTTTTATAGCCAAGCTAGCATCAAATGATTCAATAAAGAGAAATTAATATAGTGGCTACTGCTTGCAGATTTATTAAGCTACTTTGGTATTGTTTGTAAACGGTTTTTATGATCTTGGCTGCATGCCTTTGCATTACTTACATAGCTGTGTAAAGTAAGAACTTAGTTCAATTTTAATTTTGAATATTGAATTGCTATGGTGAATCATTTTGTCCTTAGACTAAAAATAAATAAATCACAAGTTATGAGTCTCATGTTTCTCATGAATCCCTAATACACAGAATAGAGGCTCTGTAAAGAAGGAATAATTAAGAAAAATGGAAGTATTTCTACTTTGTCTGCCCTTCACTGTTTTGTTTGCCATGTGGTGTGATGATGTGTCATGTTACATCCTTAATGCACTGTGGTCCGCTATTTGTGGCATAATTCTTTTATTTGTACTTTGCTGATGGAAGACTTCTGTCAGACATTTGCTCCAGGACTGGATTGTGTTGCTGACTGGGATGCAAGTGCTATTGCATTTGTAGAAGCTTGAGAGAATGCTTCTGTAGTGTCCCTTCCCCCCGGAGAGCTTCTATCCAACATTGGTGCAAAAACTTTACTTGATGTAATTCTAATGGAACTAGCAAGTTGAAGCAACCTTCTTATGCTCCCAGTTCTTACAGTTCAAACTTCTGTAGCATTATTCTTGTGTTTTCTGTTGTAGTGACAACATGGCTGTAAGGGTAGCATAGGCCCTACATCTGCCTTTGTGTAAAAACAAATGTACATCCTTGAAATATGGTGTTTACCCCTATAGTGTACAATCTGAGACAGGGTGCATATGTGAATTACTTACATAATCCTTCCCCAGAAAAGGAAGAGGGTTGATTGCAGGGATACCTGTGCATATAGCTAAAGTTGCATGTCATATTCTAGGTGTATGGGTGTGCATACATGGTACGTGGCAGGGCCCTGCTGCTAAGTGTGAATTTTCTTGTGCGAAAGAGGATAACTGAGCTACTCCTATCTAAAGAGTCGGTTTTTAAGGACCTCTGCATGTTGTAGCTGGGGATCTGTGTTCTGTTCCTGCTCCTGTCTGCAGCTAATGCTGGTTGCCCCTCTAAGGTCAGGAAAGTAACCTTGGAGAGCAGGTAAAGGTGTTTTGAGGAAGTATGGAGGAAAGGAGATTGGGGCAGCCGGGATAAGAGGTATCTTGTTCCCTTACTGTCCAGAATACCTCAGCTAGACGGCCAACATTGCCTGTTAAACTGAAATGCAGGGTAAAAGGTGCTGGAGATGATTGTATTTACTTTTTATTTTATTTTATTTTATTTTATTTTATTTATTTTATTTTATTTTATTTATTTATTTATTTATTTATTTATTTATTTATTTATTAAAACATTTTTATGCCGCCCCATTCGCTGAAGTCTCGGGGCGGCTTACAACAATAAATTAAAATAATTATAATCTTAAATTTAAAAAAATATAAACATTAGATTAAAAATACAAAAATACAGTATAAAATAAGCCGCCCTGGCCAGATAAAATCCAATAATATTAACAGTTAAAATGCCGCTTAAATAAAAAGGTCTTCGCCTGGCGCCGAAAGACAAATAA